GTGGTGATCATATATATATATATATATATATATATATATATATATATAAAAGATGGACATGCTTTTGTGAGATTCACCCAGACACTGGTATTTAAAATATGAGCAAATCCTGTTATGTTATCCTATATAAAATATTTTTTTATATTTATGTGTGTGTGTGTACCTCTCAGTAATAATGCTGGGATTTACTGTAACAAGGTCAGTCTTAGATCCCACATCTTCACTGTACATATCTGAGATGGGAGGAATATTACATCTGAAAGAGAGATTTGACATGTCGTTTAGCAGATCCCTCTATATATTCCCATGATGTCTAAACAGAGAAACACACACAACAGTATTTTACCGGAAGACAAAGTCAGCTGCATCAATCTCTCGTCCACATTTGCTGTTTTTGATGATGCCGCCGTTCCCGATGACGGCACATTTCTTAAACTGGGATTTGGAATAGGGCATGTCCTGCAGTCAGAGCAGAGAATACATTCAGAAACAGGACAGGAGCAACCCAAATGGGATTACAGGGATGATTGCTTGGAGATGGTTGCTTGGCAACTGTTGCAGGCATAGGGTTTCTAGGGTGTGATCACTGCAGAGGTTGCTAGGTAATGCCCGTCTTCATACTTAAGGAAAAGGATGCTTGATTGGTAATGTTCGTCAGGGTGTGTCTGCTTCATGTGAGAGATTCAGCTGAAGAAAAATTATGTGTTTGTGTGTGTGTGTGTGTGTGTGTGTGTGTATGTGTGTGTATAAACAGATCTCAGCATATATGCAGATATCAATTCACCCATTTTTATTTACTTTCTTTTCCACCGCAGTCAAGCCATTCTTATGGAATCTACTGAGGATTCATACTGGAATTTTGTTAGAATTTGGAATAAATCCTAATTGAACCACATAATAAGAATCTTATGTGAATCATATAAATTAACTAATATTATTCTCATCTGATAGAGGATAATATGTAATGTTTATTCAGAACTTGGTAACACTACACTTAAAGCCTTTGTATATAATGCATTATAAAAATATTTTTAATGCATTAATTATGCCTTGTAATGCACCTTAAAATGCATTATATGATTTCATTACTGTAACTATAGTTAAAATACATTACAATACGTATCTATTCATTGTTACACAGACAATATAATTATAATACATATATAATTTGGCCTCAATCAAATAATATAATATAATATAATTAATATAATGCAGGATATTTTAATTACAACTTATTCAGAAATCTGCTTTTTTAAAATTGGGATAATCTATAATATTGGAATAATCTTGAAAAAAACAATTTCTACTAAAAAAGAATCTAATCTAATCTAATATAATATAATATATAATTTGGCATCAAACCTAAAAAATCTAATAAGAATCTTATGTGAATCAAATGGATTAACTAACATTTCTAAAGGTCTAGAATATTATGTCATTTTTAATTAGAATTTATTCAGAAATCTTCTTCTATTATATTGAAATAATGTATTGCTAAAAAAAAAAAGGAAATATTTAATGGTGCTATAAACGTTTATCCTAAAAGATTTCCTTTTTGATTCCTTCATGGGCATGTTATCCTCTCAGAATTATATGTTCTAAACAATTCTACACAGCAAAATCCCCAGAGTTAAATCAACTCTGCTCAGAGTACATATTGTCCCAATCTACAGAGTGTTAAAGTAACGCTGAAGCAGAGTTAACACTGTTGAAGATTATGTGATATGTTTTCATGTCTAAAAGCCTGAGCAGTAGTTGTTCATCTTCAACATTGTTAACAGCGGGTTTTCTTTACTAATGCTCACTCATCAATTAATTAATTGCTTAATTATCTATTAATTAAGTAACTCGGCTTCAGTGTTACTTTAACACTCTGTAGATTGGGACAATATGTACTCTGAGCAGAGTTGATTTTAAAGGAATCTATTTAGAAAGTTCTAAATGATGATGAAATTCCAAAAGGAATCATCTGTGCTTTTTCATCTGCTCTTCTAAACTCGTGTAGTCAAAGGCCAGAGCTTTAAGCATGATTTGACACTCACATCAGGGAACATTTTAAAGATCTCCGGGCTGATGTGCAAGATTCCACTCGTATCCACCTCATAACGCAGTTTGCTGCCCGAGGGAGTGTTTCTCTTTGTGGTAAACAGGAAGGAGGGGGCATTGCAGCAACGGGACAGAGACGTTCTATTGGACAGGGGGAGAGATGACATCATCGCTTCGTTACAACAAAAGAATCCTATTGGATATCGAAGGAGATGACATCATTCCTTTGTTTCAAAAAGAAATCCCATTAAGACTGTGCTGAAGTTGGGAGATAAAAGAGAAAAATGTTGATGTACTCACCTGAAGTTCTCCGCCTGCTCCTTGTTTTGCGCCCACTTACACACCTGCAGGTTCCTCCATCGCTCAAACAGCTCTGATGTCTTCACCCTAAAACACACACGCACACATAAAGTCAGTTAAATAAGAGAAAAACAGCAGCAGTCACAGCTTCAAGTAGGTTTGCTTATTTAAAGGGGTCATAGGATGCTACATGCACTTTTACAAGTTGTTTGAACTGAAATGTGTGTTGGCAGTGTGTGTACACAACCACCATACATAGATAAAAATCCACCCAGTGTTTTTTTTTTTTATCTGGTTAAATGTTTTCCCCTTTCTCAAATCGAGCCGATCTCAGATGCCTGTCTGTGTGACGTCACAAAAACAGGCCCCTCCCACGATAGTTTGACAGACTGGACTGGCGTCTTACCTTAGACCCGCCCTGAGTGAGCTGTCATCAGTCCACCATTGTTTCACCGCCGGAGCAGATGTAGACAAGAATGACTCCTAACAAGCGATTGAGGTGTTCTGTTGTTGAATGTAATAATGAACATAACAGTCGTCATTTACTCCTGACATCTGAGCCGCTGAACTCGCAGTGGATTTCGTTTGTTTCTGAAGGGAATGCTCCCCCGATCTACATAAATGCATCTATGTTCACGCGAATAATCATGATCCAGCCTCATCTACAGAAGAAGTGAGTATAATGTTTTGTAATGAATCTTTGCAAATCGCCTTTCCTAATAATGTGCTAATTAGCAAGTTTGCCATTGAGAAATTTTAACCGAACTATGTTACAGACTTTTCATTAAGACCCTAAAGAATCATATCAACTTGTGGAAAATGGGCATCATATGACCCCTTTAAAGCCTCCAAAGAAAGGAGTGGAAAGGAGGTGTTCTTGCTCAGATGTTGTATTTCTTTAAATAGATGCTCTTTTTACAGGGTTTGTCCTTCGAGACGAGACATTCAGCAGGAATCTGACTCCCGCTGGAATGCTTGCTCGGTATGTACAGACATCCGAGAGAGAAACTTACATGGTCAGTACTTTCACATCTGTGATTTCTTGCCGTAGTTCCTTGCAGGAAGTGGAGTTGAACTCCAAAGAGCCATCGGGGCGTTCCAGATACCTGCCAGAAAACACGGAGTCAGACACGAGTCCTCTGAGCACACGCACACACACACACACTGCAGGAACAACCTGAGATTCCACCATGAAGAACCTAACTGAAGATCCTGATCTTTCTCGCTGCATGTGCCATGTCAAACAATCCTGAAGAAACGCCAATGGATTTCTGTCACAACTTGGAACCAAATCTAATAGAATCAAAAAGAATCCCCCCCCCCGCCCCGATATTTTCCGATAGTTCACGATATTTCTGGTACTTCTCTAGTAATGACAAAGTTGCTCAATAAAGCCTTTTTTTTTTTCTTTAACAGAAACTAGGAGTGGCAGTTTCAAATAATTTAATTAAATACAGTTAAACATTTATCCAGTATAAATATTACAATTAGATTTATAACAATATTTAATTAAAATTAATTATATTAATATATTTAATTAAATTAATATATTTAAATATTAAAATAATTAAATATTAAATAATTAAATTGCAGAATTCCAATAACTGAATGTTCCTCAGGGTCTATAGTGAATTTACATGATTTAAAATTTCATGTCAATTACATGATTTTCTTAGTTTAAAATAACTAAATATATTTATTAATTTATTATTAAAATTGAGCAACATTTACTTTTCTAATCTTTTTGTGATATTTTAAATAATTATATTTTTATAATTACATAAACACTAACAAATAGCGGTTTCAATCTGATAAAATATCTTTGAGTTTAATATAACTAAAAAACATATTTCTTGTTCAAAAGTAAACGAATAAATTATTCATTCATCAATTCATTCATTAAAATGACAATTTATAATATTTTAATCATGTCCATGACCTTTCCAGGTCTAGAAATTTTAAAATTCCCTGGTATATTCAGGTTTTCCAAGAGAATTGTGGTTCTTAAATAAAAATGACAGTTGTTCAGTTTATTTTAAAGCATATTTAGTCTTGTTTTTAAGCCTTTTTTATGGCCCCTTTGGAGCAGTGCTTAGGCCACCAGATTGAGAATCACTGGGTTAAAGCATAAAACGGCCTATTTGTGCCATGCGTGGTGTACTGAACCTATTTAGCACCACAGTCTTCTGCAATATAGTCTTTTGAGAAGCAACAGTGAACTACCTACTCGCTGTTTGACTCTCGTGAGCAGAAATGCTTACACGCTCCCTAAGTGCAGTGTGAAACAGGATTCTTGTTTGATTCCATTTGCACTGGTTCCCAATTATAATAGGAATTCCACCTGAGGATTGTTGACAAGCCACTTTGAAGACTCGTTCATTCTGTTACGCATTCAGCTTAAAACTGTCTTTTCTGTTGTTCTGAGGAGAAATATAAAAGAAATAACAATTTCACCACAATGAGGACAGGCAGCAGGGTTTGAATGGATGAAATGGGAATCCTCACCTTGGTTGTGAAACACAAATACAGAAAACATGCATTACAAACATGGACTAAATGAATGAACTGTAAAATAGGAGCAAGTGTATAGACTACATCAGGAAGTGTTTTTCTCATTATTTGTCTCTGTTTGCCGTTTTCAGTCTTGCCTCGGGCACCGTGTCTATGAAAACATACTCAGTGCTTCATGTTTTGATTTTAATGGGCTTTAAATGGACTTTAATGGTGGATGGTCTGCTACTGTAAATGAGATCAGAGCCAAAATGGCTGCTAACAGCCCTCGCAAAGCCAAAGGCCTCCTGTATATCTATCTTCCACCATGCTAATGGGTGCTATTACAGCAGACTAAAATGGGTTTAACACGCACAGTGTTTTATGTAAAAGGCTACAAACACCACACCATTTTTTAAAATGTTCTTCTTTGTTATATAATAACATGATTTAAATGATACTTTCCATCCTAACAGCTTTGTACAGTAACAAAAAATCTTTCTTAACTGTTTACTGTCTTACGCTCGTGTCTTAGCTGTTGTGTCTTATAGCATTAGCCAGGCATGTGATCAGCTAACGACAAAAAAGAAGGAAAACATGTCTCACATTCAATATGACTATATAATAATAATAATAAGAAGAAGAAGAAGAAGAAATTATATTATATTATAATAATTTTGATTATTTTTTACCTTTTATTATTTTAAATACTAATAACTGTTATTATATTATTATTATTATAAATATTTTATTATTTTAATTTTATTATTATTATATTATATAATAATAATAATAATAATAATCTTATTTTTCTTATGATATTAGTCATTTGTTTTATCTTATATTTACATTTTATTATTGTTAATTATTGTTATTATTTAAGTTAATATTAGTATTTTATAATATAAATATTATTCAATATATTTTTATTTATATGTTATTATTTTATTATTATTCTATCAACTACTATTACAACAATACTATTGCATTGTACAATAGAAAGCTGAGTATTTATTATTATTATTATTATTATTATTAATTA